TGATACATCTTTTTTTCTCTGACCTAGACAGTGTGGCTGCTCAACTTTTTCAAAGTTTGACTGTACAATGGGGGTTGGTGAGAGATCAAATGAACTCACTTAACTGCTAGCATAGCAATTCCAGATGTGCTCAAGAGCACAAAGGGATAAGCATAAGGAAGTTCAGTGTGGCATTATTAATAATAGTGAAAATCTAGAAGCAACTCAAGTGTGCATGCATGGAGCATATGCATGATCAGGAAGGAGCAMATCCTCAGTTCTCTGAGATCAAGGTGCAGGCAAGAACCAGCTGCCATTGTGGCTTGATGTGGAGGTGGAGGGAAGAGAAGGGACTTTGAAGGCTATTGTGTTTCTTATGGCTTCTGTTCTATTTTATTTATTTATTTATGAAGTATTTGGGTATATGATGGAGTGAGAAGAGGTAGACAAAAGGATTACTGAGTATCTTCCAGTGCGTCCATTGCTTTAAATGTGAAATGAGCAACTCTTGGCTTTGCATTGGTTCTCCATCTTTAGTGCATTTTGATAGCAAACTCCTCAATGATCTCTCGATTTGACAATTGCCTTTGGCTTTGATTTCTCCAGGAAGAAAGAATCCTTTCTAGATCTTTCCTCCTTAATCTACCAGTATGTCTGAGTCAGTTCTTCCTTTGCCATTGCCTTTTTTCCCCCTGCTAGTTGGTCCTTGATTTTTCTGACGGTAGAAGCCAGTTGTTAGTACTTCCAACATCCCCCCGCCTGACCCACAGCCTCAACTTCTACCTTCCCCTCTCGATACCTTTCCCAGTCCAAATCCTTAGGTTATAAATTATGCTAACACCTACTAAAAGTTGAGCATATTTCTTTCTTTATATTTTGATTTAAGTACATAAAATGCAGATACTGTGTTAATTCCTATTTAGATTTTTTATTCATTTCTTCATTCATTCATTCAGCAAAACATATTGAATGACCACTATGTGCCAGTCACCCTTCTTGATAACCAGGTACAGAAAGAACATGAAAACTCATATTACTTAATAAATTCCCTTTTCTTCTATGTTCAGGATAATCTAAAGTGAGACCAACCTTTAATCAGAGTTAACTAACTGAAAACACTTTTAGAATGATGAATTAATATTGCATCTTTCTTTTACTTTCTTTCTATTATAGTTCAGTGGGAGTCCTATTTTTATATATGGAGGGAAAAAATACATGTGTTTTATTTTCACTGCTTCAAATTTTTTTCTTTAGGAAAATAAAATAARGTAAAAAGATGGAATATTCCTTGATTATATTACTTATGATCATTACCTATTACATATTTTAATCAAGTTATATACACACAGATGTATGTGAGCAAGCTTTTGAGGGTGTTTCCTTATTTAGAAATAGACAATCAGAAGATAATGATAAGATTCCACTGATGTGTTTCTCCTCTTCTTACATGTACTTCTCTGTATGATAATATGAAATAAGAGAACACATACCATTTAATGATTCCATATTATTCTTTRTGTCATTGAATTTAGTCCTTTAGTGTATTCTTTTATTTTCAAAATGTTTTCTAGATTAGCTTTGTTGTATATAGGAATAAAAATGATTTTCTCTTTTAATCCTACTCAGATGTACAAAGGGGTACAATATTACSTATCTTAGAATTGTGATCTTCAGATTGTCTTGGAAGGTTTTAGAAATAGTCTATATAATTATAATAGTCAACTGATATAAGACAGGGAAATTATCCTCATATAATTTTTTAATATGCTGATGGCGAATGTAGTTACTGCCATCTGAGGATACTCTTGCCACTTTTAGCCAATATAGCAAAACCAAACCAAAACTCAATGACAATACAACAAAAATGTTGTTTGTTTTTAATCTGATTTTTAATGTTATAAAAATTTAACTAATTATTTATTTACTTCTTTATGCCCTGTTTTATGGTAGCTCTGTATCAAGTACTGAAGTATGGAGAGATGAATAGTAGTTTAGCAAAAGTAACAATGTCAATCAGCACCTGCATTGGTGTGGTTAGTGGCACGTATGGTGTGTAAAGTATGGTGTGAGTATGAGACCAGAGGTGATACTGGAATTGAGAATCAGATTCTGGGACCCTGTTGTGCTGGTGATGAGGATTGAACACCCCAGAAATGCCAAGGCAAGTGCAGAAAAGAAGTTTTTYTTWAAAGGATAGAACAGACACAGACTTCACCTGAGGAAGAAGTGAATCCAGAGCTGGTATCTGAGGGAGTGGGGGTGTCCTCTCCCTTTTAAACATTTTGGGTTCCCCTTCTTCTTATGCCCCCTCCTCCCCTTATCTTGCCTACATGACCAGTGACCAAAATCCTGGAGAGGAGCTGCCCAGAAAGTCAGGAAGGGATTCACCCAAGGGACACTCATGGACAACTCCTTGTTGTGAGGAATGGTTCCCTGGAGGCAGGTGACCTYGGCAACAGGTTGGAGGAAGGGGAAGTGCTCTGGAGGGATTGGCATTTTATTTCCAACTCTCGACSCAATCATTCATTACCTACACTGACTGTCTGTTTGCCCCAGCCTCAAATGTACAGAGGAAGGTACCTCTCACTTAGGGATGGATTGAAGAAGCTTCCAGAAAGAAGTGATCCTTTAATTGATCTGAAGGTCCCAGTAAGGGTTAACCAAACAGATGGGGAAGGGAGAAGACATTTAGGGTTATAACATGTTATAACATGTAAAAACATGGAAACATGGGACATGATAGGGTAGACAGAGAATTTCTAGTAGATTTTACTTTGGATTAATTGTCACATAATGTGCTATTGTTTTAGGAAGGCTGGAATACAGTGTGAGAAGACATTAGGAGATAAACATGGTGCAAATCTTTGTGGTYAGAAACTAAATAATCTGTATGCCAAAGATATACAGTGTTATCCTAGGAGCTTCAGGCTGCTGCTMAAGGGTTGAAATAGGAGAATTGGATGGTCAGGTTTGTGCTTTAGGAAGAACTTTGTGAGTCAGCAGTATGGATGTGGACCTTGCCACCTAACTCAGATAAAAGATGATGTATTGTGTGACATAATAAAGATGGAGGGAATAGACTTGAGAGATATTTATTGACAAATTATAATCTATAAGACTTAGAAGTGATTGGGTGTATGTGTGTGCGCGCGTGTGCGTGTGTGTGTGTGTGTGTGTGTGTGTGTGTATGTATGTGTAGGAAATAGTGAACAGAGGATGGTGAATTTCAAGTTTCTGATTTATGCAATTTGAAATATCATGAGGCAATAGATGAAGATCAAGAATGCACGAATGATGCAGAGTTGGGGCTGGGGGACAAGATGGTGATGAGGTGAATTTTGGACATGTTGAATGTCAGACATCTGTAGAGCATCTTAATAAGAGGCAGCCAATGCCAAATAAACACCTAGGTCTAACAAAGAGAAGAATCTGCRTTGGTGAGAGAGATTACATGTTTTTATATGGATATAGAGTTTTTAGAGAGCCGGTGGCATCTGGTACCTCTTTGTGTCTCCTTCACATTGTACAGGGTGAGCCTTAGGGCTGTATATAATTCCAAAACTTAACTTTTTTTGGGATTCTAGTCACTCAGATGAGGTCCATCAGTGAAGAAGAAAGCAGGCCTGTCCATCACTGGTGATAGTTTACTTCTTTCCCAACCTAATTATTAAATACATAGAAGGAGCTGAATTTGGTGGGAGAAATTCAAAGTAGAAATGAAATCAGAATTAGCATAAAGGATAGTAGTAAAGTATAACGTAACTTTAGGTTAGTGTATGTCCAGAATTTCTTCCTTAACCTTTTGTCACATCTGAATTTCATAATGCCTTTAAAATCTTTCCTTTAGACCCGTAGGAGTCCTTCATTTTTAAGTTGTTTGGCAAATGTCTCAACAATAGGTAGTACCRTAGAAGTCATCAAATAGTTTTAATGAGATATTTAGTAGATGAGAGCTACTAGATACCMGAGGAAGGATAGTTGAGGCAGGTTCAGGATATGGTTGGTTTTATTCTGTTTGTTTGCATCTCATTGACATTCCTTGGAATTAATGATTTTAATAATGGCAATTTGAGGCCCCAGATGAAATTTCTTTCCCATTAAATTCACATTTCTTTCTCCCAGAAGCTACTGCTCTTTCAGAAAGCATTATTAGAATTCTACGTATTTCAAACATAATTTTTAGATATCACTGCCRTTCTTAAGAGAGAAATAACATTTTGCTGTTACAAGGACAATGGAAATATGCAATATGAAGCATAATAAGTGAGATTTGTTAATATTGGTCTTTTTCTGCTTACATGTGTTTATGTGCACACAAATATATGTAGGACCATTTTTATTAGGGTACTATTAGCTGCTTTAAAATAACAATAATATTRTATTAGTGTTAATAAAAGAAAAAAAAAGGTTGATTTGACACAAAAGAAGTGTTTTTCTTCTTCGTATCAGTCCAAGTCAAGTGATCCTGGCTGGCATATGGCATTCTCCCATGCAGTGATTCAGTGACTTTGCCATCTCCGAGGGCCTTATCATTTGCATGCAGCTGGCATAAGGAGGAGAAAGTGTGCAGAAGCCACACTTGCTTCTTAAGTTGTGACATGGATGTGACACATGTCATTTCTGATTACATTCCATTGGTGAGAACTTGGAATGTATGCCTAGTTCCCAGATGCAAGGAGTACTGGGAAATGCTGAGAACTGGAAATAGGCACCGATTTTCCAGCAACAAATCCACACAATGATAGTGGGAGCACAGAATTTGGTGAACTGCTCTCTGCCTTGGATATGTGATAGACATGAGCAAAACACAAAAGTAACACATAAAATTTGCTCATTACTTTGTAGGCAYACTTCAAGTATAAGTTGGTTGGTGTCCAGGTCAATAAAAAGCATTATATTGATATTTTTCATTTGTTCTGGTGTTATATGGTTGTGAGACCCTTTGAATGTTACCAAGAGTATTGGATTCCTTATTCATTCTGTATGAAAAACTGACACCTTTTTTTTTCTTATTTTTTAAGGTTGGACAAAATTTGCCCGATTGACAAGGGCTTTGACAAATAGCCGAAGTGTTTTGCAGCAGCTTACGCCAATGAATAAAACAGAGGTGGTCCACAAGCATTCAAGATTAGCTGAAGTAAGTGTGAAACTGACTGGGCTTCCCAAGGTGGTAGTGTTGGTACATTGTCTTGTCTTCCCCCACATGACTCAGTAGAACTATTTCTGGCTATTAAATTATAAATACTTACCTGGTAATTAGTTTTTCTTTTGTACAAGTGTAGAAATTCCAAGTATTTCTTTTTATTCTCTTCAACTTTTGAAATGGGATTGTAGTTTTGTACATTCAGTGATTGATGCCTGTGGAGTGTGCAGTTTCTTTTGAGCAAATGGGATAAGAGATTCCTTTATCCCACCARTAACCTCAAAGGATGATTGAGGGTTTGCTCTGGATGTGGCTCTCTGAAAAGGATGTGAAGATAAATAAGATGTGGGCCCAGTCATCAAAGAGGTAAAGGGCTAGCAGAGTAGACTGATAACAYAATGTAAAAAAGCCCATGACAAACAGCAGGAGTGCATGTGGTAGCATTAACCCAGATTTGGGACGCTAGGGGAGGCTACCTGAGTGAGGTGACACCTGGGCTGAGTAAACATTGAAGGCAAAATRTATGTACTAGGCAGGTAGAGGAGGGAGGTCAGCATGAGCTGAGTCTGATGACTTCAGTGGTCCAGTTCATGTAGGGAAGGGAGGGTTATTTAGGGTGGCATACAGTAACATGATGGCTGTGGGTGTCTCATGCCAGGAAAATGACAAGATCTCATTGGTGAGTCAGAAAAATTTCTCAACTGGAGATTGCTCCCAACTGTCTACTTTTGTAATCCCATGCTTTTATTAGACTTATTTAAAAACATTCTAACAAATAGTAATTTAAGAACTTTCATAGCTTTTACCAGCTTGCCTAAGGAATCCAAGGTACGAAAGTGTTTAAGATCCCTTTCTTGACTTACGGGTTCTGTGGAGAATGAGAAGGCAGGGAAAGCAGTTTCAGTAGTAAAGTCCTAGTAGTAAATTAACTAGGATGACCATGACCCTAATCAAGGTAGTAGTAGCAGAAGTGGGCAGATTGCAGACAAATAAAACATCCTTTTTCTTTTGGTCTGGGGGATTGAACCCAGCGCCCCATGCTTGCTAGGCACACACTCGTCTACTGAGCTACATTCTCAGCCCAACACATCTGTAGATAGAGTAGAACTGAGTGTGAAACAAGGGGATGAGTCAAGGACTTCTGGGTAGACAGAGCTGTTGGTTAATAAAATGAGAAATGCAAAAAGAAGGAAGAGGAGGTTTAGAAGCAATAACGAGGATAGTTTTGGACATGTTAAGTGTGAAGTTCCTGTTGGGAATCTACGTGGAGATGCCTAAAGGGCAGTGGGGTATATGGGTCTGGCGCTCTGGAGGGATATTTGGGTTTGAGTTGTAGACTTTGCTGTCATCCTCATAGACATGTATTTAAAGCCATAGGATGAGACAGTGTCACCCTGAGAGATTGTGTGAAGACCAGACAGAAAAGGGATGAGGGTAGGACTCCCAGGCAGCTAACAGCTTTCCTGTCTGATGTCTTCTGTAATCATCACTTATTTTACTGGTATGAAAGAGCTGAGATGCTAATTGCTGTATCAAAGCTATGCTGAGCRTGTAGCAGGCACTCAGGTAACCTACCATAGAGTAGAAAGATAAAGTCAAATTCATATGTTTATCAATTTCCTSTGCCAGAGAAAGTAGCTGAAGCTCTCCAGGGCAACTCTCCCATCTAGTTGTTAATAGGAAATCTGGTTTGTAGAGGGTTAGGAAGTAAAATATGTTCCCAGAATTTACAGAGCTGTGCAGTTTTTGTTAGCCCATAGCTAACTAAAAGACTCATTATAGTCTTCTGCTCTAAATAACACTGTTAGCTTGGGGTAACTTTAATACTTTGAGGTACAGACATGTTTTTTAAAACTAAAGTAAGACATAACATAATGAAATGTTTATTAATATCTGTAATATTTAAAAAGATGATATTCAGTTAGCACACAATTTAAAGCAATTATATGCGACTTCTTTTTAAATATCTCCTGTTTGTAAGTACTGTTTGGTTTTGAAGCTACCTCCTCTTTTGCCTTGAGTTGTTCACTTTTTTCTAGAAATTGGGCTGAGGAGCAGGAGTGTGTTTGACTCTTCAATGTCATGGTCATGATTCCTTCTGAATCATAACTATATTTCATTCAAAGATTTTTTTCTCTGTTATACAGCAGGACAAGAACAGGAGATAGGGGATTATTTTAAAAAACCTACCTTGAGTGGAAAGTTTCTTTCCCTTGACAGCTTATCATCTTTATTTTTTACTTTTGAGACAAAACTTTCATTCCTATTTCTTCCCATCTGATTTTTATTTGTTTTGCCTTTTGATATTAGTACTTTCAATTGGTCATCCCTAATTCATAAATCAGTTCTGTTACAAAATTGCTTTCTGTCAGGTTTTAGGCTTGGGTTTAGAGAACACACCAGAATAACAAGGTTTTCAGTGGCGATTTAATCTGTGGTTTGCCGTATGTGGTCTTAGAGTTCCAAACACAGATCCTGAAAAAACACCAACGAAGCACAAGAATGTTGCTTTTTCCAATTAGACTCAAAGACTCATATCGTCCAAGTGTCTGGTTTTGCTCTGGAATTTCAGGCTTCTTTCCTTTTCCCAAGACAAGTAAATCTGATTTCAATTCCACCTGATCTCTGAAGGTAGGAGTTTCAAGAGATTCCAGACTCTATGTAAGCAGTTAATTAATTTCCCACCTGCACGACATCCTGCTGATTGCCTTCCCTTGGTTCACAAGTGTGCTGCCGGGGGTGAATGGCACCTCTCCCGTGCCTTGATAGAGCCTGACTCCTGAAAGTCCACACTCCCAGGGCCTCGGAGAGGAAGAATGTATCCGCGTTGGTRTAGACATACCTCAGCAAATGTGATTTCACCCTCCCCCCAGCTACCTTAAAGTACCTTAAAGTAGTGGTTTGCACATGAGGATGATCAAAACCTTTGTTTTATTGTTGTTGTCCTTCTCCTCCTCCTGTATCTCTTTAACCCCTTACTCCTCCTCTTTGTCCTCCCCATCCTTCTCTCCCTTTAGCATTTAGGCAACAGTTTACATTTGCTATAGTCGTTGTCTAAAGGACTGGGTCAGGGATGTCTAAAGAAACACAGAAGATTTTACCTTGAGCTGTACCTTGTCATCACCTAGAATGGTTTTGAAAATATAGATTCTCTGAGAACCTACACAAGACCAAATTGAGTCATTCTATGGAGTGGGGTCTAGTTGTGAACCCCTGTTGCACTTTCTGAAACATCCTCACCTGATTCTCATGTGTAGCCAGACTTAGACACACTGAACCGGAGATGATCCCCTTCTGTCTCCACAGGAGAAGGTTTATGTRTCTCCAGGTGCTTATTCATCAACATAATAGGCACAATATCTAGTAGGGCCCATAACACTTTTAGGAATTCACAAAATATTTTAATTTCTATTAGCAACAGAACTAAAGATGAACATTTAGATAAAAGTTGAATATATGATTTTTAGTATATTCACTGTGAACCACTGTAGTTATAAAATATAACTTTAATTTATTTTTAATGGGAAAATGGGATTCAGGAAAGCAAGAAGGCCCAGTGTCCAGGGAGGTGGTAGTGTCTTCTGGTGCTGAGTTTGTTCTTATTTTCCAACTCTGATTTCTGTGTGCTCAGACTATAGTCTGTGGAGATGCAGCTGGTAAAATACTAATATTGACTGTGAAGGAAATTTTCATGTTTCACACAGTGAAATTGGAGCTGATAGATCAGTGGTTGAAAGGTGAAAGAGAAGGCTGTGATTATGTACGATTCTTTAGGTATAATAGTCCAACTCAACATGAGGCTTACATTCCTGGGAGGATGATTTGCTGTGAGTAATTTAAGATCTTATGGGGAAAATATGCCTGGGGTACTGAAAATGTACGTAAAAACACGAACCATCCTTAAAAACAGTCCTTCTAATCTTCCAACCCCAAATAACAATTATTATGCACAACTGAAGAGAATACCAGTGGTGTTTTTCACATTGAAAATAGTTAGAATGGATGTTATATGGTTTTCAGTTATGTAAGTTCTATGTATGAGAGAAACTAGGGCACTCTCCCAAGTTTCAAAAGATGCTTCTGCATTTGTTTTGCTTTGTGGAATAGAAACCATAGAGCTACATTCTAATGAGTATTTTTGTTTATATCTATTCCTACATTTAAATTTTAATGCATTTATGATTTTATTATTTGAAAATTTGGACTCAATACCTCTTGGTTTCCATTAGTTCTAGAGACACTGAATAATTGGCTGAATAAGATGAAGAAAGTCTGTTGGAAACATTATTTCACAGATTTTCTCAAACCAAACTCTTTAACACATACACTGTCCTTTGCTTCATTGATGGCAGGAAGCAAAGGTTTTTGATCTGCCTTTAACTCCTTATTGCAATTTCCATGTTCCAGGTTCAAGAAGCCAACACTAAGTCCTATATTTGTTAGCTTTGGCTAAGGGTGCCCAAACCTGTCATCTTGCTCTTTCATCTGCTTTTGCTCTTTGTTTCTTCCTTTAATCAGAGTAAATCCAGATTCATATAAATGAAAGGTAGGGAGGAGCAAACCTGGGTATTTAAGAATTATTATTATTATTATTTTGCTAAAGGGAACTTGCATCTGACTATAGAGACAATATTTTAAAAGTGCTGGTTTAAGGGAAAAAAAGGAAAAACAAAACAAAATAGGGTGTAACACAACACATTATACTGCTGCTAATCATCAGAGCCCTTGCTGAGTGTCACTCAGCAGCAAGATCACCAACAGTGCCCTGGGGTTCTGAGGCTATCAGAACTGAACATGTATTTCCTTAGGTGCTAAATATGTGTGAAGAATGGATAATAGTGAGTCACACAAATAGCTGTTGGGCAGTCAGTGAGAGCCCTACAATTCCAGGCTGGCTCGCAGAGTGGGTGTGCAGGCAATAMTCCCAGGAATATAATCCAGTAATGTTGGGGATTCGTCTTGGCTACTGGAGAGTAGGACAGATGGAACAGCAGACAGATCCACTTTTGTGGAGAGGTTGGACTTGGAATGATTTCCATTGAACAAACTTTAGGACAACACAGAAGAGGAAGATGAAACTATGGAGCATGACTGTCCTTAAAACCCAGAGTGGTGACCAATAGGTGGTGATTTGATTGTTTGTATGTTTGAATTCAGTACAAATTGTGCAGAGACATCCAGTTAATTCACATATGCGTTTTCTCCCTTTTAGGTCCTTCAGCTGGGATCAGATATYCTTCCTCAGTACAAACAAGAAGCGCCAAAGACGCCACCACACATTATTTTACACTATTGTGCTTTTAAAACTACTTGGGACTGGGTGATTTTAATTCTTACCTTCTACACCGCCATTATGGTTCCTTACAACGTTTCTTTCAAAACGAAGCAGAACAACATAGCCTGGCTGGTACTGGACAGTGTGGTGGACGTTATTTTTCTGGTTGATATTGTATTAAATTTCCACACAACTTTTGTGGGGCCCGGTGGCGAGGTCATTTCTGACCCTAAACTCATAAGGATGAACTATCTGAAAACTTGGTTTGTGATCGATCTGCTGTCTTGTTTACCTTATGACATCATCAATGCCTTTGAAAACGTGGATGAGGTAAGTGTTTTGGTTTTATTTATTTAGTGGATCATATGTTTCAGAAAAAAAAATCAGGATAAAAGAATTCCACTGACAATACAAACATCTTTTAAGCCCTCACTTTCAATCTTCATCCTAAAGGTTACCTGGCTCTAAGTTACAATTGGTTTTCATCCACTGTGGCTATGTCTGGAGCTTGGGGTTGGAGGAGGTGGGGAGAGAAGCAGAATGGTAGCATTTGGAATCAAATATAGTTTATAAATCAGACAGTGTGTTAAAAGATGATGTATATAGCCAGGTGTGGAAGTGCACCCCTATAATCCCAGCAGCTCAGGAGGCTGAGGCAGGAGGATTGCGAGTTCAAAGCCAGCCTCAGCAACAGTGAGGTGCTCAGCAATGAGACCCTGTTTCTAAATAAAATACAAAATAGGGCTGGGGATGTGGCTCAGTGGTTGAATGTCCCTGAGTTCAGTCCCTGGTACAAAAAAAAAAAAAAAAGATGATATATATGGTTTGGGGATGTAGCTTAGTGGTTGAGTGCCCCTAGGTTTAATTCCATGGTACAAAAACAACCCCCAAACCGATGTATGTATATTTAAAAAAAAAACCTGCAGCATTTTAAAATCTGTTCATGCATAGGTCTTACTGACTTATCCTCTCCAGATACATATGGTATCAGTGCTGGATTTAACATAAAGATGAGAAAATTTTCATGCGAGAGTAATTCTTGAATGTTTGCCATTTTGGTTTCTGCTTTTGTTTGAAGTTTTGTCAGAATACATTTGTGGGTAGAAACTTATTGGATGACTTCTCATGTCTGGTCTACTTGAAGGGTCTGCTCCTTCAATGCTGTTAGAGCAATTAGAAGTACTTAAAATATACAGTATCTTAAAAGACTACTTCATTTATAGTTTCTTAACCTCTAACTTAAAAGTGAGTGATTTATCAGTATATTGTGAACATTTTCCATGTTAACAAATCTGTATCTCAGACAGTTGAGATTGGAGGATTGTAAGTTTAAGAAAACAAAGCCATTTTAATTTATTTTAAAACAGAGTACGTTATTTATAAGTTGCTACACCAAGCTATTAGGATTAAATATTATCTCAATGTAGAATATAATCTCAATATGGACCATGAGTCAATACAGAATATCTTTTTTATTAGAATGCTTTCATAATGATAACCTTACTAAATCAATTTTACTGAAGACTCTACTATGTTCTCCATGTTAGACTGCTCAGTTGAAAGATTTTCTGCTACACTGTTATTGCTCTTGTTATTCTATGTGTGTTGGAAGGTAGATCAAAATTTTCTTTGGTGAGTTTTTCCATTAAACTTCTACATTCAGTCAACTCTAATGGGATTAAAAATGATTTCTCCAAGAGACATTTTCTGATACCATAGATATAATTGTTAGTTTAAAAATTATGGAAAAAGGAATCATAAGTAGTTCATGTTGTAATTTTAGATTCTGTTTGCATCCAGCTTTTAAAGCTATGTTTGATTCTTGCAAATTTATACTCTGGAAAGGGTTAAAAGTAGTCAAATTTAAAATATTAGCTTGGTTATAGCAAGAAAGTTGTCAATATCCATCTAGTTTTACCTGCGTGTTTATCAGATTCTTTGCTCATACTATATTCAGTTGCATTCTTCGCTGTTTTTCTGGTTTAGATTCTGTAGATTGGCTCATTAGTATCCATTAGGTAGCATCCAGGTTCACATTCCAGTAGCCTTCCTGCATCATTCTTAAGCATCTGTAATTAATATCTTCACCATTTTTCATCTTCACTCATGGACATGCATGCAATTAATATAGTTAACATTATTTTGCTTTGTTGTTCAAGAGCACTGTAGCAGATGGCGGATGATCTGGGGTCTTAGCTTTTTCAAGGGCATATTTTGTGGTGAGATTTTGGGATGGTTTCTCTTTCTCAGTTTCCATATTGTGAAGAAGGAAAAGGAATGCTTGTCTTTTATATCACAAGATGGTTACAAGAAATAAATTGGAAAAGAGACATTAATGAAATATGGATTTCTGCCAGTCTGATGGGATATTATTATCTCATTTCTAATAATCTCATTTATATAACTGCTTTACAAATTCTGTGGTGGAGAAGAATGCATCTTCTATCTCCTTGGTATGCCTTCATTGTACTGCATACATCCCAGAGACTCACTGACAGGAAGCAATCCGGTGTTAGCAAGGTTTTGGTAAATTGTACAATGTCACAAAAATAAAATGGAACTTAAACATAATGAACTGCGCTAGTGGTGACTTGGGAGTAAGAGAGCATATGAGTCTGAAAATTGCAATTTAATCYTCTAAGCTGATGGTGTGCAGAATGACTGAGAGGACCTAATAATGCTCTTTATTTTCAAGACCATCAACGTACTCTCTGAAGGTAATTTGATTTTTAGGAATTCATGAACTGGCTATGTGATTTTTTTAAAAAGTAAACCATGAGGCAGGAAAGACAGGATCCATTAGAGAAAGCCTTCTGTCTGAAAAGAAGGAATACAAGTTTCCTAGAAAAAATAAACAGAGGGAAAAGATGCTCTCACTAAGAATCCAAATAGAACTGAGCTTTTTGGAGCAGGCATTGTATCGACTTTAGAAGGTGTAGGGAACTTGATTTCTGGGAGCTTAAGGGTTAGCTGAGTCATGGAACATGAGAGGATGATGGGTCAGCTTCAGAGAACACATTGGTCAGCACAGAGGGTGTAGGAAACCTGATACACAGGGAATTTAGATGATGAGGAGTGCTGTTACTACCTGGTAAACAAGGTAAACTAGGTCAGAACAAAATGAAATTGGGAAAAAGATCTCTTGTGTGTTGATTCAGCAAGAAAAAATGAATGAACCAGAAATTTCCAAGTGGAAGTATATAAATATTTTTAATTTTTGAAAAGCTTTTAGGAAGCAATTTATATATTATTTTTTTTTCATGAATTATACTTGTCAAGCTGTCATGTGTATATTTCACTTTATATGTTTATAATTTCATCTCTAGTCACCAAAATGAGAATTAGAAGTCAGAAAGGCTAATTATGCTTGTATATTTTAGTGATTCTTGTCAGCCTAGAATCTCTTTTTGTCCTTTTTGCCTTCTCAGACCTTTTACCAAAAGTAGTAGATTGGAATCATTATTTAAAACCATTACTTTTAAAATTGAAATCTAAATAATGTTTGGGTGGTATAGGTGGGAATTATATAATTTTTCTGTTTCAGTTTTCTAGCCTTAATCTTACTCTCTTAATCTGCCTTGTACTGCTGGGACAAAATACCACAGACTGGGTCATTTATAAAAAAAAAAAAAGTCTCAAGGCTGGAAGTATAAGATCAGGGAGCTGGTGAGGGGCTTCTCACAGAGTTCTCACATAGCAGAGGGCAGGAAAGTGAACCTTTTTATGGGGACGTGAATCTATCTGTGAGGGTGGAGCTCTTGTGACCTAAACACCTCTATCATGTCACATTTCCTGACACTGTGGCATTGGAGATTAAGTGTCATCAGGAGTTTTGTGGGAGACAAACACATTCAAACTGTAACACTGCTCAGTCCTCCTTGGAATTGGTTGATTTCTCTTTTTACTGTTCCCTACATGATGAAGCCATGCCAATGTTCAGTTCTATACAATCTTCTTTAACTCTATAAAATTAAAGCATTTTAAAATAGACTTTCAGAGCAGTTTTTGGTTGACAGAAAAATCAAGGGGAAGATACAGGGATTTTCCATATACCCCTCACATACCTGCAGATACAGATTGACSTGCTATCAAAATCCCACACTAGAACGGTACATTTGTTACAACTGATGAACCTATATGGATACATCATCGTCATCACCCGAAGGTGACGGTTCACCCTTTGTTTTGTACACGTGCTGAATTTTGACAATATATGAAGACAGGTATTCACTGTTATTATCAGATAGATTATAATTTCACTTCCCTAAAACTCTTGTGTGCTCTGCTTATCATCAGTCCTTCCCTGCTATCCCCAGGTAACCATTGCTTCTCTGTCTCCTTTCCCAGGTGTCCCATAGTTGGAATCAGATAGTTTGGAGGCTTTTCATATTGGCTTCTTTCACCTAGTACTATGCATCTATGGTTGCTCCATGTCTTTTCAAGTTTTGTTAGCTCATTCTTTTCAGTGCTGAATAACATATCATTGTGTGATGTACCACCATTTATTTATTCATTCACCTACTGAAACACATCTTGGGTGCTTCCAAGTTTTGTCAATTATGAATAAAGCTGCYATAAACATTTGTGTGAGGATTTATATGTGGATATAAGTTTTCAGCACATTTGGGTAAGTACCAAGGAACATGATTGCTGTATCATATGGTAAGAATGTGTTTAGCTTTGTAAGAAACTGCCAAACTGTCTTTCAAACAGGCTGAACCATTTAGCATTTCCATCATTAATGCCTGAGAGTTTCTGTTGTTCACATCCGTTGCCAGCATTTGATAGTGTTTTGGATTTTGGCCATTCTAATAGATCTGTTGTGGAATATCATTTTAATTTGCAATTCCCTAATAATATAATGATATTGAACATTTTTTCCCATGCTCATTTGTTATCTCAATATATTCTTGGGTGAGATGTCTTTTTGGATCTTTCATGCATTCATTAGTTARGTTGTTTATCTTCTCATTGTTGAATTTTAAGTGTTCTTTGTGTATTTGGGATTACAGCTATATATCAGATATGTCTTTTATAAATATTTTCTACCAGTCTGTGGCATGTCTTGACAAAGTCTTTCACAAATCAGAATGCTTAATTTTAATGAAGTTSAGCTTATCAACTATTTCTTTCATGGATTGTGCCTTTGGTATTACATCTAAAAAGTTTTCATCATAACCAAATTACCTAGATTTCTATAATTACTATGGTTAAGAATATGTTGTCTCCCATGAAACTCATTTTGAAATTTAATCCCCATTATGAGATCTTCAGAGGTATATCCAGGTGTGACATTTTAGAAGTGATTAGAGCTCTGCCCCCATGAGTGG